AAAAGACTTCATTAGAATTCCATCCACACAGAGAGTTAGCTACTCATTAATTAAATGATTTCAAAGGGGATCTTGGTATATAATTGCTATAATTTAGGTGGAAACAATGCCACACTAAGTGTAATTAGAGGAGCAGGCTCTGTAAAGATGTTTTCCTCTTTACTGCAGAGCAGCTCTGGGTCACCTGATTCTCCCCTGCATAGTAACTGGGTGCTTTTTTCAACCTCCAAATGCACCAACTTTATATACAGCCGTGAAAGCTGAAAAAAATTTCAAGGAGAGACTGGCTAACCACAGTTCTTCCAAGAGGAAAAAGACAAGAATTCATTACTAGGAAACCACTGGAAATATGTAAACGAAAGAACAGTTCTTGGGGAGTCAGATTGGCAGGTATGTCACTGCAGACTGACTTTTAAGGAAACACTTGATCGAACTCAACTAGGATAATATTAAGCTGTCATCAACCTGCCCCAGACTCCCTCCCTTTATCTTCCTCAGAGACTCCAGCACTAGCACCTTGAATTCTTGGAACCACCAGCTCTCTCATCTCCATCTGCCTCAAGAAAGAGAACGAAGCCAAAACTGACTCTGTCAGTTTCTTCCTAATTTTCCTCTTTCTGTTAATATTAGGCTAGAAACATTAGCCTAATGCATTAGCAGAGACTTAGCCCTCAGCCTGTCATCGCTCTTAAACCCTAGTCTGGCACTCAATCCTTTTCTTACACTTCTACAAAATCTCTCACATCCACCAACTTCTGTATTCCACTCCTATGCCTTGATAACTAATAACGCCTACCGTTGACGGCTACCATTGATGGCATGCTTATCAGATTCCAGGAACTCTGCTGAATGTTCCTCAGCTATTATCATCCTGAATCCTCCACAGAATACCTGAGAATCTTAGGCACAGCCATTTCAGATGAGGAAAACTGTGGCCCTAGGACCATGCTCAAGGTCAAGACTGAGTTGGGAATCGAGTTGACATTCATGTGAAGCCAAAGCTCTTACTGGCTGTGCTTCCTCCTGCTGAGGACTATATTTCAGGCTCTCAGTACCTCCTGCCTCACTAGTTTACACCTACATCTTCATGAAACCTATCCCCCACCTGTTCCCAGACTATTGTCTTAGAGCATTATTTCAATGACACTACATACCTGCTCAGAAATTGCAGGTTATAGAATAGGGACCACATTCCTAGAACTAGCATTTCATCCTATGCCATTCCATCATATTCCTTTCCAAATTTTCTTCCTTCTCCCCTCTCTGTCCTAGCCAAACTGGTCTCATTCCCTTTCTACAGGTGCCTACTCTACATAGGTACTTGTGTTTGTGTGTACACACACGTGCTGATGATGATAGCTGTGAAATGCTTATCAGAGTCTCGAGCAAACACATATACATACATACACACCCACACCCACATATACTGATTACACACCTTGTTTTTTTCCCATATTTTTCGTTAGAAATATCCTCCTGTGGTTTTTGCCTGCTCTAAAACCAACACAAGCTCCGACTTAAAGGCCATCTCCTCTTAAAAGTGTTCCTATGTATTCAAAGTCTAAAGGATCTCTCTTCTAAACCTTTGACTTCCTGTATGAACAGATGGTAATCTCCTCCAGGCAGAGGGCTTCCTCCGTTTTTCAAACACCATACTTTCCACCTTCCTCTTCTCTAAGTGTACTTCTCTCCTTACCCCCCCTCTTCACATCTCTGCTGGTAACTTAAGCCTTCTTCTTCTCTGTCCCTACACTTGGCATTTGTGCTTCACATGTGGGTCAAGAGGTCCCCTAATGTCGTTCTATGACACTCATCTTTTCAACTTCAGCTTCTGTGCAGAAAACTCCCAAGGCACCTACTCTTGTTCTGGAACTCTTACAAGATTTAGTCATGAATATGACACTAAGAACTGTGAATCTGATATAAGAGCCTCCCTATCTACCTTTGTAGTATTATGTCCTGCTACTTCATAGTGTTCCTCATGCTCAGACAGAATTCCATTTGTTTCAGTAAAAGAAACATGACTTCCTAGCACCTGCTCTTCTTCTACCTGGGATGCCTTCCCCAACATCTTATCTTATATGTCCAACTCCTGCCCATTCTGCAAGCCTCAAGGCAAATAATATGCAGTGTTTCTTGGGAGGGAGATTAAGGGGGAGGAAACTGTTCAAATCTAAGCATTTTGTAGTGACCATATTGATTTCTCTTTTCAAAAATAAAACTAAACAGATGAAGGTTTTAAAATTTATTTTCTTATCATTTAAAGATTTTGATCAATTTGTAATGTTTAAAGAGAATATAATCTCAATGATACCAGTTCTTTGGAATTAGTCCAGCCTTTCTATGTGGCCCAGTATGTAGTCAATTAAAAAATATATTAAATGTTTTCTCTAAAAGTGTATTCTCTATTTGTTGTATGGAGGGTTGTATACAGTTCTTTTAAATCAGGTTTCTTAATAGTGCCATTCATATCCAAAATCACATGGACTTTTGCACTGTTTGGTCTATGTGAAGTTTATTAACTTCACATGATATTTATGATATTTTAAATGATATCATTTAAATGATCACGTTATTTTTGTGATATTTTAAATCTTCCATTTCTCCTCGAGTCTTTGTGGGTTTTTGTATTGTGTAATCATAGCTCTCTACAGATTTTGAGATTTTTCTATCTTCTTTATGGATTATTCTTTTTTTATTTTAACTGAAAGGCTAACTTTTCTATTATGCTCTCTGTATCTTTCTTCATCCTCTATTCCTTTCTTATAAAAAAAAATGATCTCTTTACTTTGAATTTTTGTAGCGTTTTTTTTTTTTTGTTCTGAGTATCATCCTTAGCACTTCCAACAGGTATCATAATTCATAAAATATGTCCCTATATATATAGTATTGTCTTCACTAGATTTTAAACTCATACAAGTCTTCAACTTACACAAATTTTGCCTTGCACAGTACCATGTGTTGTCTGGGAAATGATCCAACATAAAAGATGCTGACTTCATATGGGCCAGTATGTGAGGCCTAGTCCTGGACCAATGGGAAGTTCTGTATACATATTAATTAGACTTCAGTTTTCTCATGTGCACAATGAAGATAAGGGCACGACCTAGCAGAATTCTGAGGTTTAAAAGTGTTGTATATTTATAATAGTAGAAATTAAAAAATGAATACTTTACTACTTCATATTTTATATAATAGGACTTAATTATAATTCATTTACATATAATATATATATTCATTTATATATTATATATATAATATATAATTCATTTATATATAATGAATATAATTAATTATTAATTAATTATAATTAAATATAATTCATTTCATATCTTTTGTTGGATCCTGAGGATTTCTGGGCAGATAGTACATCTTATGCTTTTATATTCCCACTATCCCTACTTTAAGACCTTGCAAACAGTAGGTATTCTAGCAGAAGTCAATCAAATAACAGCAATAATAATAAAAACACCAATATTAGTGATCATTTATTGAAACTTATAATGTGCTAACCACTTTGTGTGAATTATCTCATTTATTGTTCCCATGTAACAGATAGGGAAGCTAAGGCTCAAAGAAGCTAAATAGCTCATATAAAAAGGTTATGCAGTGAATAGGTGTTGGAGCCAGGAGTCCAATTGATGTGATTGCTACTGATGTTATAACATGGTTCTCAGCACTGTGCTTTAAACAAGACTTCATATCCCTTTTCAAGCATTTTGTGACTCATTAGCAGTCATCTGACTGTACTGTTTGGCACAGATGTATGGGTATGGGGGTCTATTAGGTTGCATAAATAAAAGACAGAAACACCATGAAATATATAAAACTGAAAGCACAGTTGTTGTAAATAAGAAAAGAGAAATAAGCAGAGAAGGTGTTATCTAGAGAGCTCCAATTATGGCCCAATTTGTCTCAAGCTCTAAAGCATTTACTACATGGAGCATTATGTACCTGTACCTGTACTATGACAATCTTCATTGGCTTGGCCTCTAGTTGGAAGTCCCTGGGGCATGCAAATGAACAAACCAAGCTATAAAGTCTTAGTCCTCGAGACTAAGGGTCCTCAGGGATAAACCTTTGGCTGAAACCCTTCACCTGCTAAATGGGGAAACCAAAGTCTAGGCAGTGGTCTGCTCAAGAACATAAAGGACTAGAGTCCAAGTCACCTGAACCCCAAGTCTTTCTCCTGGCCGACTGACTGCTTTTCATGGGAAACCTCTGCATCTTGCAGGCTGAGTCATGGGACATCATATATGACAATAGTATAATGACCAGTTGCTGGAGGAACACAGGGAAGGAAGGTGACCACATCCAGAGCTATGGTTGACCAGGGAAGGCTTTAGTCAAGACCCACTTTCCACACTTTGCTGGCCTTTCCTTAAGGCTCTCGTATCTAGAGAGTTCTGGGTTTTCCAAACTCTAGCCTGCAACTCTGGAACTATAACCTGAGCTACTAGGTTCTTCTAAAAGAGCATTATCTTTGATGTGCTAAGATGTGGCATTCCTCTGCATAGTCTAACAGATCAAATGAGTCATCAGAATGACATAGACAATGATCTATCTTGGTCTCTGGGAAATAAGCTCCCTTCCAGAGACAGTTTAGCTGCTCTCATCAAGCTCCTAAGGTGGGTGAAGGTCAGAGATACTAGGGAGGGTGATGGAATCTAAATTGGACTTCATGGGTGGTCAGCAGGCTAGAAAGAAGGCATTGACCTTCAATTCACTAATGAGGGAGAATCCTTGTGGGTACTAGGGAAGAAGGATGCTCCACTGGTCCAGGTGTTGCCTCCACATTGACATGTAGATAAATATGCCCCAAGTCAAAAGTGGGCTTCCCTGGTGGCTCAGCTGGTAAAGAATCCATCTGCAATGTGGGAGACCTGGGTTCTATCCCTGGGTTGGGAAGACCCCCTGGAGAATGGAATGGCTACCCACTCCAGTTTTCTGGCCTGGAGAATTCCATGGACTGTATCCATGGAGTCACAAAGAGTCAGACACCGACTGAACGACTTTCATTTCACTTCAGGTCAAAGGCTCTGCAATGACAGTCTGGCTACTTGCAATTTCCCCTATTGACATACTGGATTTATTTCTCATTCTTCTAAGTAAACAATTAAACCAGCTGTGGATTCCGGTGAGTCACACACCATCTTCTATGCCACCTCCGTCCAGGATTCAGAATTAGCCATTGCTAGGAAACCGCAAATCCCAACTCAAACCTTTTACCCTGCCTTGATGCCTTTCACTGGCTGGATATCATTAATTTAAGAGCAAATTATTTGAAACCTGGAAAACAGTTCTGAAATACCTGTAGATTTATGATGAAGTCATTTCACAAAAGGTCACAGGCAACCCTGCTATAATTAAATCTTTCATTAATTTTTAAAATACACAATAACTTACAAATGAAGCATAAATTAACCAGATGACCTTGAAAAAATTATCTAGAGCACTGCTTCATCCAAAGCCACTATCTAGTAATTTCCTGAATTTTTATTTTACAAATAGGATTTATCTTTTTTCCTTCTTGTCTTTGATTAGGTTCTAGTAGCTTTCTTATTTGAAATGACATAGTTTCATTTACTCAGAGCATTAGTTAGCACTGAGGAGTGATGGGGGTAGTTAAGACTCTCCCTTCCTTTAGGTCATGACCTCAAAGGTAGAGTAGGTGTGACGCAAACAATCATCTACACATGCCTAAATGCAGCCTCTATTCCTTCATTATCTGGAAGCTACTTTTTATTTCATGAGTACATTTTGATAAATGATTTCCATTTTCTCATTATAAAAAGAATGCATTCTCATTATAAAAATTGAAAACTATAAAAATCTATGGATGGGAACATAAAAACCTCACTGGAGGCAACCACTTTTAATATTCTGTGATATTCCCATCCATTCACTGACAATGTTCTTCTTTCTCAGACTAAGAGATAAGCAATAATCACAGTTCTCAATTAGAGTTAAAGACTTCAGAAATTAGAAGTAATCCTGAAATCTCTCTCTCCCTACCCGCCTCTCTCTCTTTCTATAACACACAGACACATACACACCACCACCACCATTACCACAACCATCATTAAAAATTTGATTATGGAGAATATTCCACAAATACTAGTGCAGAAATAAACCTCATACACATTTGCTCTTTCTTTTACAGGGTTGAAGAGGCTGTAGAACATAGCACCTTTCCATCAGCAGAGAGCTTGACTATACTGTTTATGCCTTAGCTCAGCTCCTAGAGCACTTAGAACAGTGTCAACCTTGTAGTGGATACTCAATACATACCACTGAATAAAGAAATAATCAATGTTCTTGTATAGCAACTTGATACAGGTGGATTCCTGTGCCCTTCTTCAGGGGTTCCTAGAGAACTCAGTTTTCTCTGAAAGACATAGGCTCCCTCACCTCCTTTGCCTCCTGCCTCCATAAGCCCTCCTCTCTGCTTCCATGGAGGAAGCTGCCAAGGACCAATTTCAAATCAAAGTAGAAAGAGCAGTGCTGTGGAAAGCTGAGGGTTGGAGGCCAGCAGTTGTTGGTCTCCAGAAACCCGGGCCACATCCTTGACTTTCTGAGTGCTTCTATGCCACCTCAGTGTTTTCCCACTAGGGTGCAGAAGGGATTCGCGGTAAAGGAGGTCAGCAGCTACAGAGGAACTGCACTGAGCAAAAGTGAGACACAAACTAGACCTTAATAGAAATAGTGGATCAGCAGCAAGGAATCCTGCATGTGGAGCCTATGTTAGTTACACAATATGATGATGAGTGAGATGGTTAAAGAGGCAGGGATTAAAAGGTTTGAAAATAAGTACCGGGAGAGAAGAAGGAAAGATGGAGAAAGAGACTAAAAGACTTTGGACCTGAAGAGGCAAAAGAAAATAAGTTGATTTTTAAATGCATTGAAAGAAATCATTCAATGTCCAAACAACTTTGACTCTTTTCTCAAAATTTAATAAGCTCCTTCAGTGAGCTTGAATGTTTAAAGTCCACAACATTGGGAGTGTGTTCCATGAACCTGTGAAAGATAAGTCACGAGTTGGTGATGAAGGAGAACCTAGGAGATGGAACTAAAGGGGAGAAGATGAATGTTCAAGATGAACGTTGAGAGAGGAGGAATCAAATAAGCCGTAGAGAACCGGGTAAGGAGGGACTGGTTTTCCTTTGTCATTTCTGTCTCCTACTTTGTGTCAAATCCTGAACCAAGAGGCAAAAAGAATCAGAAAAAAATTCAGCTCCTATCCTTAAATAGTTTGCAGTTCAGTTCAATAATAGTATTACTCACTCTTCACATATCTGCTGAGCCCAATTATGCACAGGCATCCACATTCAGGGCTGTGGAGGATGACAAATAAGACAGTTGCCAACCTCGTGAATCTTTCAGACTAAAAAAGACCTCACACTATAACTGCAGAGATGACCAATATGTAAAACAGTTAGAACACGGTGAAAAATAAAAGTGACAACACCAATTCACCATGACCCAGCAATTCCATTTTTAGGTATGCAGCTCAGAGAACTTCTGTGTATGCATTTGGAGACATACACAAAGATAGGACAATATTGTTTGCAATAGCGCAAAATGGAAAAAAACCTAAAAGTCCATCGATAGGAGAATGGAGAAATAAACTATGCTTATTCACGTCACAACAGAATGCCACAGCATTTATGTGTCTGTATCAGATGGATTTGTCCCAAAATAGGTAATACTCGGTGACAGACACATATAGAGGAATAATAGCATTTAGATAATTAGACATTTTAAAAAAATAAAGCAATACCACATATATTTCTATGGATAATTAAATATGTACTGAAAGTATCAATACCCTTACTAGAAGGATATACACCAAATTCATAGCAGTGGTTGATCAGTGTAGGAAGCAACAGGAAAGGGTTTGGAAATGGGCAACTCCAAGGAGACCAACTCTACCTAGGATCAGTTCAGTTCGGTCACTCAGCCATGTCCAACTCTCTGCGATCCCATAGACTGCAGCACGCCCAGGCTTCCCTGTCCATCACCAATTCCTGGAGCTTGCTCAAAATCATGTCTATCGTGTCAGTGATGCCATTCAACCATCTCATCCTCTGTTGTCCCCTTCACCTCACACCTTCAATCTTTCCCAGCATCAGTGTCTTTTCCAATGAGTCGGTTCTTCACATGGGGTGGCCAAAGTATTGGTTTCAGCTTCAGCATCAATCCTTCCAATGAGTATTCAGAACTGATTTCCTTTAGGATGGACTGTTGGATCTCCTTGCAGTCCAAGGGACTCTCAAGAGTCTTTTCCAACACCACAGTTCAAAAGTATCAATTCTTCGGCACTCAATTTCCTTTATAATCAAACTCTCACATCCATACATGACAACTGGAAAAACCATAGCTTTGACTAGATGGACCTTGGTTGGCAAAGTAATGCCTCTGCTTTTTAATATGCTGTCTAGGTTGGTCAGAGCTTTTCTTTCAAGGAGCAAGCGTCTATTAATTTCATGGCTGCAGTCACCATCTGCAGTGATTTTGAAACCCCCCAAAATAAGTTCTTTCACTGTTTTCATTGCTTTCCCATCTATTTGTCATGAAGTGATGGGACTAGATGCCATGATCTTAGTTTTCTGAATGTTGAATTTTAAGCTAACTTTTTCACTCTCCTCTTTCACTTTCATCAAGAGTCTCTTTAGTTCTTCTTTGCTTTCTGCCATAAGGGTGGTGTCATCTGCATATCTGAGGTTATTGATATTTCTCCTGACAATCTTGATTCCAGCTTGTGCTTCATTCAGCCCAGCATTTCGCATGATATACTCTGCATATAAGTTAAATAATCAGGGTGACAATATACAGCTTTTCCCAATTTGGGACCAGTCTGTTGTTCCACGTCCAATTCTAACTGTTGCTTCTCGACCTGCATACAGATTTCTTAGGAGGCAGGTCAGGTGGTCTGGTATTCTCATCTCTTGAAGAATATTTCACAGTTTGTTATGGTCTACAGTTAAAGACTTTGATGTAGTTAATAAGGCAAAAGTAGATGTTTTTCTGGAACTCTCTTGCTTTTTCGATGATCCAGTGGATGTTGGCAATTTGATCTCCTGTTCCTCTGCCTTTTCTAAATCCAGCTTGAACATCTGGAAGTTCACAGGTCACGTACTGTTGAAGCCTAGCTTAGAGAATTTTGAGCATTACTTTGCTAGCATACCTAGGATACCCTGCATATTTATTTTAGAAATATAAAGTTAAAATGATAATGTTGTTAGTATTTATTAAATTCCAAGGGGTTGGCACACAAGTGTTTGTAACACTATTCTTTGTTCTTTACTATATGTTAAAAACTTTTAAAAAGAACTATTAGGAAAAAAAATAAAGGTATAAAATTAAGGATGTAGAGTCAATATTGGGAATCACAAACCCCAAATCATAGAGGAGCCAGGGGTTCAACTTAAATGAACAATGAGTAGGCTGATACAGTTGGAGAAGATATACACATCAGATGAGAGGCGGGCAAGAAACAGCTCAACCAGTGAAAAGCAGGATGACGGGTATTTGGGCTCAATGCCACAAGACGTTGCCAATTGAAAATTTTAGTTCCATTAAGAAAAATGTAGACCAAACTATTTATCTGTGGTCCAAATCCAGAAGCTTAAGGTAGGAATTTAATGAAAGAAAATAAGTAAGAGCTGGAGGAACTGTGCAGGGCTTCCTGAAAGAGGTGAGATTTGTCTGTATGGCTAACATAAAAAATGAGGAAACTTCCTCATGAGGAAATGAGGAAATCATTTCCAATGACTTGTCAATTCAATATAGTTAGCCCAACATATCTGCCGGTTCCACATCCACAATTTCAACCAACCATGGAACAAAACATTAAAAAAAAAAAAATTCCAGAAAGTTCCAAAAAGCAAAATCTGACTCTGCCATACACTGTGAACTATTTATATAGCTTTTATATCAGATTAAATATTATATAAGTAATCCAGAGATGATTTAAAGTATGTAGAAGGATATTATACAAATACTATGTCATTTTATATAAGGGATTTGAGCATCTGTGAATTTTTGGTACCCACTGTGGTGAGCAGTGTCCTGGAACCAATCACCAGTGGATAACAAGAGATCACTTCCTTCATAAGCAAATAAAATAATTTATGGATAGGGGAAGCTTGTATAAATCATTTCAAAAATTCAACGATATTTGTAACATAGCCACAAAAGATTAGACTGCATGTACCCTCTTGTTCAGAGTCAACAAACTATAGCCAATGGGACAAATCTGGCCCAACGCCTCTTCTGGATGGCCTATAAGCAAACAATGATTTTTATACTTTAAATGGCTGGAGGGGAAGGCAAATGAAGAATCACATTTTATACCATATGAAAACTGTATGAAATTCAAAGTTCAGCATCTATAAGTGAATTTTCATGGGAAGACACTGCATTCTGTCTTCCATGTCACATATCCATTCACTGTATATTGTCTGTGGTGGCTTTCACACTGGACCAGGAGAACCAAGTAGATGCAGGAAAGACCCTGGAAAGTCTAAAATCTACACAGAGAATCTGCTGACCTCTCCCCTAGTTGGCTAAAGTTCTTCCTGCAGGTGGCCCATTTCTTGATCATTAAACTATGGAGACTGAAAGCATCTCAAATGTCACCCAATGTTAGTTATTTCACTTAATTCTCACATTCACATGAGGAACCCAAAGCTAAAAAAGGTGAGTAAGACATTTAAGATCAGACGGATGGTAAGTGGCAGTCTGAGACCTGTCCCTGGAGTGTGACTACAAAATCCATGCTCTCAGCCACCGCTCACCACACACAGCAATCTACTGGTCAACATAAGCCTTTTCTTTCCGGACTACTGCCAGCTTCCAGTTACCTCCCAGAATCATCCAAAGCCCTCTGGAGTATCATCCAAAGCCCCTATGTAGGCGTGCATTCTGCTTTTGTATTCCTTGGCTCCTACTAAGCAGGCCCTCTCAATGGATGGCAAGTCTGGTGACAACCTGAAGGACCTGAATCCAGCAACCAGCCTGAGAGGAGATGATTTAAGAGTTCCACTGGATTCGCTGATTACTTGAATGACTAACTTTGGGCAAAGTAAAATCAGATTCTTCCAGCAAACAACAGAGAATTGAAAAACAGATCAATGGAAGCAGCGCTGGTTAATTTCCAATGACTTTATCGGATGCAGTTACTAGAGGCTAAACAATACATTTAAGCTCAGGGCTGGGTCTCTGTGTTACACCAGGGCTATATTTGAGAACATGTTTCTTGCTAAGCATGCAGTCACAGTCTCTTAAGTAGATAGAAGGTCTTTGCTTTTTTTTTTTTTCTTTCTTTAAAAC